TTATTTTAGTGTATGTATGTGTGCATGCCAAGGTGGAGACAGCTTGCAGGAAGCAGCTCTCTCCTTCCACCACGTGGGTTCTGAGGATCAAACTTAGGTTATTAGGCTTGGCAGCAAGTGCTTTCTATCCAGGGTCATCTTACTGGATGTCTCTGTTTTGAGAGTTTCTCATAGCCAAGGCTAGTCTTTAACTGCTGCATTTTAATTATTTATATTTTTGTGTGTAGGATGAGTGCACACTCCAGCACATGTGTAAAACCCAGGGAACAATTACCAGGAGTTGCTTCTTTTTTTTTCCACCACGTGGAGTCTCAGGCCATCAGCTTGGATACAGGTGAGCTGTCTTGCCTGACCACTGAGTTCTTGCCTGGCTGGCAGCCTCAAACTTCTGAACCTTGTATTGGGATTACAGGCATGTACCACCACACCCAGTCCTACGGCTGCATTTGAATAAACCTGTTTCCTTGTACCAACTTCTGGTCCTCTGTTTTTTGGTGGTGAGCTGTAAGAACTTGATTATTCACATGAATGAGGCCGTGAGAAAACTGCCAGGAAACGCTAAGGGACATCTGGATGACCTTGGGTCCACTCTACAGCATGCCTTGAGTTCGCTGCCTCTCCTTTCTATCCATCCCATGGTCTCTTCTAAGTTCCTTGGTCCCACACTGTTTACTGCCCCCCCACCCCCCCGCGACCCCCCCCAAGCCTCTGGCTTCTCTCCTCTATGCTGAGCCCTTTTCCTCTTTTGGACCAGGACTCAGTCCTGGAGGAAGTGATGAAAAACCAGGGAGGAAGATGATCTTCCTCTCCTCAGTTTTCTGTGTATTTGAGTACAATGGATTTTCATTCATGTCTTGTCTTTGTTTCCCGCTGAGGTTCTTGTTACCAATTGGTTTTGTAAGAGGGATTGAGCCCAGGGTCTCCCTCTTGTAGATCAATGCTCTACCAACAGCTCTGGCTCTAGCCTCTGGATCAAAATATTTAACTATGAAATTTGATAAATTATTTTTTGAATCTAGGTACACTATAAACTTGTAGGGACCTCATGATGGATTTCTGATTTTTTGTAGATTTATTATTTTATGTGTAGGAGTGTATGTATGTGTGCGCACGGTGCCTGTGGCAGTCAAAAGATGGTGTCAGATGCCCCGGGACTGGAGTTACAACTGTGAGCCACCACGTAGATTCTGGGAATTGAGCACTTGCAGTGCTCTGCAAGTGCAACAAGTACTCTCGACCGCTGAGCCACCTCTCCAGCTTAGGATCCAAGTCTTTAAAATACAAATAATAGATGTGTAGAAAAATTCTTGTAATCCTAGTCTGGTATATATAAATTCCATCCAGGCTAGCCTGGGTTACACAGCAAGATCGTATCTCAAAACCCAACAACCACCCACTCACTCTAAATACAACTACCCTCCAAAAAGTAAATCTTCCAAGTGGAATTGTGTGTGTGTGTGTGTGTGTGTGTGTGTGTGTGTGTTTTACCTCCAAATTTAAATAGTGTTTGTTTTGGGACAACAGGGTCTTATGTAGCCCGAACTGACCTCAAACTCTCTGCCGTGAAGCTGGCTCCAAACCCCCAATCCTTCTGTCCCTCCCCTCCCCCCCAGTTCTAGGATTACAGGAGTGTGCCACCACACTTAGCTTTCACTTAATATGCTTTTACACCTCGTGGAATTTCTTCCACGGTATCTTTTCACTGAAGATACACTGGGTGTCTATGTTTCCAAGGACTGCTTAAGCCTCAGCCACCCTGGAAAAGGAAACCGCCTGCTCCGAGATGAAACAAAGGGTGCCGCTTCCTCTGAAGGAAGTGTTCGCCAGGCTTCAGGACTGTTCCAGACCTTTGCATCCATTCATTTAACGAACGGTGCCTGCATGAGTCCGCGCTAGGCCAGGTGTTGGGGGTGCCATTGTTCTCTCATTTTCTAGGTAAGGACACCAAAGTACAGGGTTGGAGATATAGCTCAGTGATAAAGCGCTCTCACCGCACATGCAAGGTCACAGATCCAGTCTCCTGTGACTGGGATGAAAGAAAACAAAAGTAGATAAGGTAAAGCCAGACTAAATTCCAAAGCTTGTCCTTGGGCCAGTTGACCCCACCCTCCTGGGTGGAACCAACCTAGACCACGCCCCCAAGACGAACAGCTTCCGGCCACAAAGCTACGCGGGCGACCAGCCCAGCTGGCGGCCCCCGCGGTGCGTAGGGAGGCGGCCCAGACTCGCTGGAGCCGGGCGCTGGCCGGGGCCTACCGCCTGCCGAGTCCAGGTGTGGCCTTGGCGGGGGCGGGAGAGGTGGCGCTTTCCTTCCCGCTCGCGGCCTTTCCTGGCACACCCCGCAGGATGTTGCTCCTCCCGTGGCCGGCAGTCACGCGGGGTGTCCAAAGAGGGAGCGCAGGAAGGAGGCGCACGCCGCCGCTGAGACCCCAGCCAGCCTGGCTGCCCCTCCCCACCCCCGGGGTGGGGCAGTGGTACTTAATTTTGCAAGGACAGCTGGACGGCATAGGCCCTTCTCCTGTGGTGCTCGCCTTGACATATCCACTATTTAAGCCAGTCTCTCCGCTGGAATGTCGTCTTGCAGGGTATCAGCTCTGGAGAGCCACCATTTGTGTTCCTTGCTACACCCTCAGTCTCTTAGCTAGTGTCTGACATGCTGCATGGAATCAGCTGGGCTCTGGACTTCCCATAAGGGGAACTTGTCCTGGAAGGAAGCTCTCACCCTTTAGCTAAGGATAGGGGCCAGATGTCAGGACACCGCCATCCATCTTGGAAGCCAGTCTTGGGAAACCTTTGACGTTTTCATCTTCTCCCTGTCCCCACACCCCTATGCTGTCCCTAAGTTAAAAACAACAACAACAACAAAACAAAACAAAATAGGAATCTACTGCAGCGGTTGAAAGTGAGTTTAGAAGTCAGACACAGGGTTCAAATGCCCCTCCCCCCTCACTAATGGGCTCACTGCCTCAGTTTCCTTATCTGTAATGATGGCAGGGGCCATCTAGGATTACAATTAATCTCCCCCCTTCTCATAGAGAGGCTGTGAACTCTCTGTAGCCATGGGGGACCTTGAACTGATCATCCAGCCTTCGTCTCCAAGTGCTGGGATTAGTGGTTCACCAGCACGATCAATCACGATTTTCTCGTTTTTGTTTTTGTTTTTTTGATAGGGTCTGTCTCTCATGTAAGGCTGGCCGGCCTGGAATTTGCTACATAGACCAGGCTTTTCTCAGCTTGCTGCCTCTACAAGTACTGGGATGACAGGCATACATACACCACACAGGGATATAGTCAAGCATTTCTAGAGTACTACCAGCACAATGCTGACCACATGCTTACCTGGTAAGCATGGAGTATTGGGGTCTCTTGTAGGGATGGTCTCACCCCTTACAGCCTCCTCCTGCTGCAACCAGGAGAAGCCAAGGCATACAGAGGGCACCACAAATCAGGGGAAATCGGTATGAAAGCAGCTTCCCAAGAATCCACCCCCACCCCAGGGTGAGCCTGGCACCAAGCCCACTGGAGGCTCTAACCAACCACCCACCCCGCCTCCTAGTGTGCAAGACCAATGCGTACCCGGCCTGGTGCCATTTTTCCATGGGGCTCAGGCGGTGGCGGTTCACATCTGGAGTCTAGACTCAGAGGCTCTGCCGGCCGGGCCTACCGCCCAGGCTGGGCCCCGCTGCCCGCTGTTTGCTCAGCTGAAGCTGGTTAATTGGAGCTGGAGTGGCCTCTGTGGCTGGCTGGCCAGGCAGGCCCTGATCGGTGCTGCAAGGTCTGTGGAACATCTGGCAGGGCCAGGACGGTCATTAGGTGGCAGGCGCCTGGCGCCACTGCCACCTCAGCCTCTGCTGGGGGTCGGCAGTGACTCAATAAGGCCTTTGTGGGCTGTGGGCTGTAGAAGCCAACCACGCTGTGTGCCTGGGCTGCCTGCCCCATCTGCCACCCTCAGAGGGGCTTTGTTCCAGGACCACACGGCCTCCCCCTGAAGGCAGTACAAGCCTGTGGAGATCCGAGAAGACCCCCTGGCTAGAGGAGCCCTTGAGGCTTTCCTCTCCATAGAATTTTAGACCCAGAGAAGTTGGGTGGCTGACTCAGAGGGGCCCAGCCTGCCTGCCAGCCTCAGTGACTTGGTTCTAGAACGTCTGAAGAACAGCATAGTGCTTTAGTATGTTGAGCAGGAGTCAACTGCTTGGGGTCATACTCATGTCTGAGGGAGAGCCGCCCCATTTCCTCATCTGTACAGTGAGGCTAACAACAACACACATAGCTTAGGACCTTAAGCGCGAAGTAGCATCCTGTATCAGCACACATTGGCCCACATCTGAATCCAGGGAAGACTCAACCCCTGTATTCTCACTTCCAGGCTCAGGCCACTTCCAATCTGTTACGTTTAGCCATTAAAACTGAACCCCGTATGGGGAAAGTCATGGGTTGGGAAGCCAGGCTCTCAGATCATGGCCGTTCTCTGGTCTCAGCTTTCCCACCTGGGCAGGTAGACAGAGCTGAGCTGCTCCTCCCCTTGTCCTCTGGGCTCTCCTGAAGGTCAGAGGTGAGGGAAAACTGGCTTTAGGATCCCTAGCTCCTGACCCTGGATAGCATCTTCTAGTCACTGGGACTAACCCCTTCTCAACCCAGGTTCTCTGAAGCTCAGGAATGGGCAGAATGGAAAAGTTGGAGCTTTGATCTCCAGCCAGATGGACAGCAAGCCCAGGGAGAGCTGTCTGTCTACAGTTACAGGTTCCCTTGTTGAGTTAGGCTGCCCCATGATACTCTCTTCAATTCTCATATCAAGGCCAGTGGGACACAGCAAGCATTTGACCACCACCTTCACTGTCCCCAAGTGTCTGGAAGAGCATGGTGAGGAAAACTGATGGCTGGGGAATAAGACTCATGGGTACCCTCTTCTGGCTTGGCAATGGGGTGGGCACCCAAGAATGGGCGTGCAGAGACCTAGTGAGCTTAGCACAAGACACTAGGTAAAGTTGCTGAGACCTCTCCAGGAGAACAGTGGCCCGCCAGCCATGGGATGAGTTTTTAATGTGAGCAAAGTCAGTCCACAATACAAAAATCTAAAAACCACATTCGGTTCCCACCTGGCTCCTGGGGAAAGAAGAAGCAGAGGGTTTCCTTTGCCTGCAGGGGAGGAGGAGCAACAGAGGAAGCCAGAGAAGGGAGAGAGGGAAACAGGCAGCAGAAGCCCGCTCCCCATCCTGGAGCCACCTTCGCCTCCTGTAGGTGTCTTCTGTCTGTGTCACCTACAGGTAATCCTCCGCCTGTCTGATCTGGCCCTCAAGGGTCAGGTAGCGAGGATTCATTTCTCCTTCTTCTCTAGTCTCTTCGATGCTGACACCTCTGTTGTCTCCTCTTTGGATTCAGTCCCAGTTGCTGGATCTTTAGGGTTTGACTCCTCATAACTGACCAGAAAACAAAGGAACACATTTGGAGGCGGTTGAAGGCACAGTCTTTGTTGCCTCCTCTCTTTGCAACCTCAGGGAACGACAAGGGTCATTGCATCTCAAGCCTAGCCTCTGCCAGTACCTGATCCCACCCTTCTGTGTGTCCTCGTGGACACCCTGCTTGGTTTTCTCTGTGCCCTATGCTGCCAGAGAGCTGCAAGGGCAGCAACAAATGGGAAAGGCTGGGCCTGGAGTTGTGTGGATCAACATTAAACTTCTTGAACCTTCTGCTGGAGAGCACAAGAGAATAGTGCAGATGAGACTCTGGGAGACCAGCAGTCTCCTGGAGTACATGGCAGAGTTAAGAGCTCAGCCCTGGGTGGGGACTGTTCCGGCAACTAGCACAGTGTTACTCACTAGGATGGACACACTGGCTTTTGTCAGAGGCTCTGCTGACTGAGCAACTGTGCCCATTCAAGCATAATGCATTATTTCCTGGCTGGTTTAGGTGGGCAGCAGTTGCTTGCTTGATGAATGAAGAAACCCTAAAGAGAAGGTTGTGTGTTCAGGGTCAAACACACAAGCAAGCAGTCACAGTGTCTACTTCGGTCTCACAGGACCATCTCATGTGAGCACCCCAAGGTTCTGGGCTACCTGCCTGCCTTGAGGCAGGACAGCAAGTGCTGGTGGCTGTGAAGAGCTGCCTTCCCTAAGAGCTGACACTCCCTAAGTTTACACCAGGGCTGGAGCGTCTGCCCTACCTTAGGCCCAGGACAATGGGGGGAGCAGGCAGGTGGGCACCTGCTGGGCATTACATGGCGCTGGGATTCTGCGGGCGCCGGCGACGAGGGCCAGCCAGCTTCTGCTGCATGGAGTCGGCCAGGCTGGCAGGGGAGCCCGAGACTGTGGGGAAGTGAGTGAGCCTCGGTGTATGAGGCAGGATTATGGCCGAGGACTCGTAGCTGTGTAAAGAGACAGATAGAGAAGACAGAACAAGTAGACAGAGAGGGGAAGGCGAGGGAAGGACAGAGATATCCTTCCCAAGGAGCACAGAGCACTGTTGTCTTGGTTACCTGGCTTGCACTTCCACTTTACTGTGTGTAAAGCAGCCTCCCTCTGTTTGGGGGAAGACGCACCACTGTAAAGTGCACCATGCAGACAGGAGTGAAAAGGGTGTGGTGTGCTGGGTTGAGCATGCTGTCAAACTAGTGTCTTTAACATACGCTATTTTACAACACACTAGTGCGGCAGGGCGTAGCTCAGCATGAGGGCATGTGCTTAGCCTAAGTGAGGTCCTGGGTTTGCACCTTAGCCCTCTAAACACCACACACAGGAAAAGCACTAAAGTGCGGAGAAGATGCTGGAGAACTGGCCACCAGCAGGCCAGGATAGGAGGATATCCTCCCTTCTCCCAGCTGTGCTGTGTGTGTGTGTGTGTGTGTGTGTGTGTGTGTGTGTGTGTGTGTGTGTGTGTGTGTGTGTGTGTGTGTGTGTATGTGTGTGTCTAATGATTTCCTCTATAATTTAACACCTTAGGTTTTGAGACAGGGTGTCTTATTGAACCCACAGCTCACCCATTGGCAAGATTGGCTGTCCAATGAGCTCCAAGGATCTGTATGTCTGTCCCCTCCCAAAGCTAGGGTTACAGATGTGTTCCACTCTACCCAGCTGGGTATCCAAACACAGCTCTTCATGTTTGTGGAACAGGCACTTTATTTTTTTTTTTTATTTATTTTTTTATTTTTCGAGACAGGGTTTCTCTGTGTAGCTTTGGAGCCTATCCTGACACTCGCTCTGGAGACCAGGCTGGCCATGAACTCACAGAGATCTGCCTTACTATGTAGCCTGACTGCTCACCAACGCCCGGCGGAACAGGCACTTTAATACCCGAGCCATCTCCCTAATTTATTTAAAAAACACCAACCATTTGTGTGTGCCATGGTGCTTGTGAGGAGGTCAGAGGACAACTTCTGGGAGTTGATGTGTCCCTACCCTGTGGATCCTGGGGATCCAAGTCAGGTTCTTAGGTTTGGCAGGAAGCAATGCTACCTTGTGAGCCATCTCACCCACTGGAAAAAATGTTCACTTTTTTGTATGTGTTTTGCTGGCATTTATGCACGTGTACCAAATGTGCCCCCAGTGCCTGCAGAAGAATGTGTCGTATCTTTGGAACTAGAGTTTACAGATGGTTGAGCTGCCACATGGTACTGGGAACCAAAGCCACATTCTCTCTGAGGGCAAGAAGTGCTCTTGCCTGCTGAGCCATCTCCTCAGCTCTCTTTTAAATTATTATTATTACTATTTTTTTTTTTCTAGACAGGATTTCTCTGTGTAGCTTTGGAGTCTATCCTGGCACTTGCTCTAGAGACCAGGCTGGTCTTGAACTCACAGATCTGCCCACCTCTGCCTCCAGAGTGCTGGCATTAAAGGTGTGCGCCACCACCACCACCACCACCACCGCCTGGCTCTTTTAAATTTTTATTTATTCATTTAGAGACAGGATCTTACTATGTTGCTCAGGCCTGCCGACATCTGTCCTCTGAATGCTGGGATCAAGGGTGTATACAGCCATGATGGGATTAAGGGCATGTACCACCATTCCACGCTTTTCTTTTTTTGGGGTTTTGTTTTTAAAACAAGGTTTTAACCTGCTTTGTTTCCAACCTGGGCTGGCTCACCCCTCCTTAGGTCACCGGGTGGTCACTGTATTGATGCTGAACTTAGTGTGGACACCTGGTTGGCATAGTGCACCACAGCCCAGAACTTCTGGACTCAAGCGATCCTCCTGTCTCAGCCTCCCCAATAGCTGGGACCACAGGCATGTGTGCCTGGCTGAAAGAAAGTTTTATTCTGCCATCCAGGTTGCTGGCCTGGAGTTTGCTACATACATAATGCAAGCTGGTCTTGAAATCAGTGATACTCTGCCTCGGTCTCCCAAGTACACGGACTAAAACATGTAGCACAATAAAGCACAGGCTCAGCTGTGAATATTTAAAAAAAATCATTTTTTTTATACCCAGCTGGGTGCTGAGTATCCAAACACAGGTCTTAATTCTTACGTAGCAGGCACTTTAGTGACCAAGCTCTCTCCCTAGTCTGTTTTAAAAAATACTGTGGTGGTTTGAGTAAGAATGGCTCCCATAGGCTCATATATATGAATGCTTGGTCATCAGGGAGTGGTACTATTTGAAAAGGATTAGGAGGAGTGGCCTTGTTGGAGGAAGTATGTCACTGGGGGTGGGCCTTGAGGTTTCAAAAGTCCACGCTGACCCAGTGTCACTCTCTCAGACTACAGACCAGGATGTAGCTCTCAGCTCCTGCTCTAGCATCATACATGCTACCACGCTCCCTGTCATGAAGATAACCCTCTGAAACTGTAAACAAGCCCTCAGTTAAAAGCTTTCTTCCATAAGAGTTGCCTTGGTCATGGTGTCTCTTCATAGCAACAGAGACAAATACATTATTTGTGTGTATCATGGCGCCTGTGAGGTCAGCGGACAACTTATGGGAGTTGGCGTGTGTGTGTGTGTGTGTGTGTGTGTGTGTGTGTGTGTGTGTGTGTGTGTCTGTGTGTGTGTGTGTGTGTCT